CCCCCTCCGATGTCCCATAGTGTTCTTCCCCCCAGTCTCCTCTCCCATAGTATTCTTTCCTCCCCCCATCCCATAGTGTTCCTTCCCCTCGTCTGGTGTGTCTCCCACCTTTCTGGTAGTGTGGCAGGGAGGAGCAGACTGCGGTACAGGAGCTTTAGTTTTTTTCTCTCAGTGAGCACTTCCTTTTAGTCCGGTCAGGTACAGGAAACAGAAGTTCCTGTACCACGGTGCGCACTGCTCCGCTCAGCCACACTACACTGAGTGCCTGGCAGGAGGGAGCGCTGTTGGCCCACCTTCTGCCGGTCTTATTAATCTAGCGCACCAGGGCCAGTGCGCTCTATGGCAGCCAATTGTGCCGCCTTATGGACGCGCCAGCCATGGGCATAGTCACTACAATTCATAATTACACTAATGGAACCCAAATGAAATCCCATTCTCCAAAGAAAAAGAATTTAAAAAAATATATACATTCTACTGTCTGTCATGAGGAATAGAGGTATTGAGTAAAGTCCTGTCCATTGTGACCCACATAATGTCTCCTCCCAGTCTGGTCAGGCTTGAGGGAAAGATGATAGTAGCAAAATACAGAGATATCCTTAAAAGGTCACTCTGAGGATTATTACAACTTCATTCTAATGAAGAGTCCGAATTTGAACCCAATCGAACATCTCTTGAGAGACCAGAAAATGGTTGTCCACCTACTGTCCCAATCCAACCTGACAGCATGGGAGGATCTACAGAGATAAATGGCAGGAAAAAAGTTTTTTGGGGGTCTGAATACTCGAGAGTAAGTGAAATTTCCGTTTTTTTCTGCTTAATTTAAATCTGTTTTTTGTTTCATATTTAGGGTTATTGAGAGTAGATTGGTGTAAAAAACTAATTTAACTAATTGTAGCACATAGCTGCACCACTAAAAACTTTAACAAAAAATATTTAATACAGTAAATAATTTCTGAATGCCCTGTAACATTTTAAGCCTTCAATCAGAGACAGGACATGGATCGTCAAGTAATGACACAATGCCAGCATTTAATAGGGTGCCTGGTGGAACTACCAATTCTTGCTGCACATTGGGAAAGTGGTAAAAAACAGGGGAAATACCCGCATGTTCCAGGAGTTTTGTTGTTTGATCAGTGTGTAGAACCAGGTATGATACACTCACATTCCAGGCATATCATTGTTTGTTCACTATGTAGAACTAGGTCTGAAGCCCACATGTTCTAGGCGTGTTGTTGCTCACTCACTGTGTAGAACCAGGTCTGATGCTCGCATGTCCTTGATATGTCGTTGCTCATTCACTGGTTTCCAGGTGAGTCATTGCTCGGTTGCTACATTGTACCAGAACCAAGGTGAGTCATTGCTCAGGACCATGTCAGAAACCTACATGTTATAGACATGTCCCTGTTCATTCATGTATGTTCGAGGGGTATCACTGCTCGGTCACTGGGTAGTATGAGGTTGGATACACACATGTTCCAAGCATGTCATTGCTCAATCACGTGCCAGGTATAAAGATCCCATATATACCCAGGGTTAATATCGATATGTTTGCAGCTGTATGAGTGTATTTATGTTACACAGTAATATTTTTTGCATGGTTTTAGGTCATGCATGCTTCAGGCGGAGTCCGAACGTGTGTTACAGTTGTGGGTCAGTGCAGTCCAACGGAGTATCACCACAGCATACAGTGACAACAAACGTGACAGTGGTAGCCTTGTAAGTAAAACGACAATCTCTGTAAACTTAATGTAACATGGCATTAGCAATAACACACTTATTACACAGAAACCCTTTCCTTCTTGGTTTTTCCAGCGACAGTCCCGCTCCCAAGTAGAGGCTCCTACAAAGCAAAGGGGAGCACAGAGTGCACAGGATGCTGTACTGAGGGTCCCTGGAAATGCTGCCTGCTCTGACTGCCGTGCTGCGGAGCCTGAGTGGGCAAGCATCAACCTGGGGGTTACACTTTGCATAGAGTGCAGTGGAATACACAGGTCAGGAGATGTCTTTGCATGCATAAGCACAGACTGAACACACAAATAAATTGTACACACAGAAATGCACATACTGAATCCCCCCCCATGAATGCATACACTGAATCCACCCCAGGAATGCACACACTGAATCCCACCCACCCACTTAGAAATGCATACACTGAATCCCCCCCCCCATGAATGCACACACTGAATCCACCCACCCAGGAATGCACACACTGAATCCACCCACCCAGGAATGCACACACTGAATCCCACCCACCCACTTAGAAATGCATATACTGAACCCCCCCCCCATGAATGCACACACTGAATCCCACCTACCCAGGAATGCACATACTGAATCCCCCAGAATGCACATACTGAATCCCCATGAATGCATACCCCCAGAATGCACATACTGCATCCCACCCAGAAATGCACACACTGAATCCCATCCACACAGGAATGCATACACTGAATCCCCCCCAGGAATGCACACACTGAATCCCACCCACCCAGGAATGCACACACTGAATCCCTCCCACCCAGGAATGCACACACTGAATCCCACCCACCCAGGAATGCACACACTGAATCCCACCCAGAAATGCACACACCGAATCCCACCCACCCAGGAATGCACACACTGAATCCCACCCACCCAGGAATGCACACACTGCATCCCACCCAGAAATGCACACACTGAATCCCATCCACGCAGGAATGCACACACTGAATCCCCCCCAGGAATGCACACACCGAATCCCACCCAGGAATGCACACACTGAATCCCACCTACCCAGGAATGCACACACTGAATCCCACCTACCCAGAATGCACATACTGAATCCCCCCCCAGGAATGCACACACCGAATCCCACCCACCCAGGAATGCACACACACTGAACTCCACCCACCCAGAGTACACACCGAATCCCCCCCCAGAATGCACATACTGAATCCCCCAGGAATGCATACACCAATCCCACTCCACCCAGGAATGCACACACTGAATCCCACCCACCCAGGAATGCACACACTGAATCCCACCCACCCAGGAATGCACACAAGACCAATCCCACCCACCCAGGAATGCACACACACTGAATCCCCCAGAATGCACATACTGCACCCCACCCAGAAATGCACACAATACTGAATCCCATCCATTGACAGGAATGGCTACACTGAATCCCCAGGAATGCACACACTGAATCCCACCACCCAGGAATGCACACACTGAATCCCACCCACCCAGGAATGCACACACTGAATCCCTCCCACCCAGGAATGCACACACTGAATCCCACCCACCCAGGAATGCACACACTGAATCCCACCCAGAAATGCACACACCGAATCCCACCCACCCAGGAATGCACACACTGAATCCCACCCACCCAGGAATGCACACACTGCATCCCACCCAGAAATGCACACACTGAATCCCACCCACGCAGGAATGCACACACACTGAATCCCCAGGAATGCACACACTGAATCCCCACCTGTGAATGCACCACACTGAATCCCACCCACCCAGGAATGCACATGGCCACCAAATCCCACCCACCCAGGAATGCACACACACTGAATCAACCTACCCAGGAATGCACAAACTGAATCCCACCCACCCAGTGTGAATGCACAAACTGAATCCCACCCACACAGGAATGCATACACTGAATCCCACCCACCCAGGAATGCATACACTGAATCCCACCCACCCAGGAATGCACACACTGAATCCCACCCAGGAATGCACACACTGAATCCCACCCAGGAATGCACACACTGAATCCCACCCAGGAATGCACACACCGAATCCCACCCACCCAGGAATGCACACACTGAATCCCACCCACCCAGGAATGCACACACTGAATCCCACCCAGGAATGCATACACTGAATCCCACCCACCCACGAATGCAAACACTGAGCTCCTTGACCTTGGCACTCAAACTCCTTAAAGAACGAATGCACACAAACACAAATATATATTCTGTTTGAAAGCTTCCTCTCTCTTATTGCACACAGGAGTTTGGGGGTACATTTCTCTAAGGTGAGATCACTAACACTGGATTCCTGGGAACCAGAACTAATCAAGGTATGTGGCATGCTGGGTACACATGGCATGTTTGGTTGCCAGCAGACTGTGTGTAAGGGAGGAAGATTTATCGGAGATGGACACTTAAATTTGTCTTTTCCAGCTAATGTGTGAACTTGGGAACAACACGATCAATGGGATCTACGAAGCTCGAATTGAAGAAATGAATATAAAGAAACCAACATCCGGCAGTGCACGGTAACTATTATTATTATTGCCATTTATATAGCGCCAACAAATTCCGTAGCGCTTTACAATATTATAGGAGGGGGACATTTAACAATAAATGAGACATTTACAAAAAACTTACAGAAATGATATGATGAAGAGGATCCTGCTCAAACAAGCTTACAGTCTATAGGAGGTGGGGTTTACAACACAATAGGGCACTGTCACTGTGATATCATTGCTTTAGGATTGTGTGTATATATCATATTTTTAATAATACAGTTCTTATAAAGTTTAGAAGCACACAAGAGTCTGTCATGAACAGATGAGGTGGGAGGAAGATTAGGAGATTGCTTCAATATAAGCAGTCAATGGACACAGGAAGTACTTATGTATAAGGAGATGGATGGAAGGACAGGACGAGGTTGACATTGGGAGGAGGACGCATCTCAGGCCACTGTCACATGCATAAAATAGTTTTCTAAGAAGTATTGGCCCAGCCCAGTTGCAGCTTTCTAAGATCACAGAAACCCAACATAAAGTATAAAAAAGTGAGAATGGCTCAGATAGTTGTGAAAGAGTGGTAGAATGGTAGAGGAGATGTAGAACAATTGGAGACGTAGAATGGTAGAGAAGGAGGTAGAACAGTGGGAGAGGTAGAATGGTAGAGACGTAGAACAGAGGAAGAGGTAGAATTGTAGAGGAGAGCAGTGGAAAAGTGAGAGAGGTAGAACAGTGAAAGAAGTAGAATGGTAGAGAGGAGCAGTGAAAAAGTGGGAGCGGTAGAATGATAGATATAAGATGTGGAGCATCGGAGAAGAAAATATGAATGGCAGAGGAGAGTTGTTAATATAGAGTAGAAAGGTAGAACAGTGGAGAGGATAAATTGTTGATGGGAGTTAGATTGGAGGAGAAGAGAGGTGGAGCGGTGGAATGGTAGAGTGGAGAAGAAAAACAATGAAGAGGGAATGTGAAGAAGTAAGATGGAATATTGGAGAGGAATGGGTGGAATGGTGAAGAGGTAAGAGAGTTAGAGGTTTAGAGGTGGAATGGAGCTGTGAAGAGCAGAGGTAGAATGCTGGAGAGGTTTTGAAGTCACTCCAGATTTTGGCACAAGCCGTTGAGTTTGAAGACCTATTGACACAATGGGTTTCTGTGCAATATTCAGCAAGAGAAGGTATGCAGGACTCCCTGTTATAAATTCCTGTCACCCTGAGTGGCTAGGCGTGAGGTTGTTTCATGCCATGTTGTTATAAGACATGTGTTACTAGGCCTTGATTTGATGTGTGATAGTTATAAGAGAATGGGTAGATTAATGGCAGGACCTTATTAAACGCGTAATGGACTCAAGGTAGATGAGGAGAAGGACCCTGCATGATGGAGAATTTTGCTGCAGAAATAAACTAGACATGACAGGCGGATTCACAGTTTAATATTAAGTAAATAGTTTTTATTAAAAACATAAATATATTTTACAGCAACATGTGTGTAACTTCTATGTCTAGCAGTGAGAAGGAGATCTGGATACGAGCAAAGTATGTGGAGAAAAAATTTATCACCAAACTCCCACAAACAGCACTTCGTATCTCCAGTCATTCCACCAACCGGCCACTTAGTAATCCTGAAACAAGAAGCACGGGGGAGAAGATAGTCAGAACTGAAACACAACCAGGGATGAACAAGACAATCTGCAGCCCTGGCAGACAAAAGGAGATTGAACAAACAATTAGCAATCCAGCTGCTGATCCAGAGGCCAACAGGTCCATCACTAGACTGCGGAAAGGTCCAAAACCAGTTCCGAGACCAAGACCAGGCACAGCTCCTTCCACACGTGGTAAATGTAATATGTTATCAGGACACTTAAAGGATCACTATAGTCACCATATAAAAGCAAGAAAGACAGGTCCCCCAGCCTTCTTTCTTGCTTTTATATGAACTTGTCATAAAAAAAATAAAAAAAAAAATCTGAGCAATTTTTAATAATAAAACTTACCTCCGATCCAGCGCCGAGCTCCCCGCCAGGCCACGCCCCCTTTTTTGTCAAAATGACGATATCGCAGGTCCCAATCAGGTCTCTGGTGTGCATGCGCGGTTTCGCACTGCACCAATCAGGTTCTTCAAAGAGCGGCATTGAATGAGCGCTCCACTGCCCATGTGCGCGGAATGCTGACAGCTCAGCTCGCTGTCTATGCCCGCCCCCCCACGACAACACTCCTAACCCAAAGTAAGTATGCAAACACTATATTTAGAGGGATCTCTATACATACTGTTTGTATACAAAACACACACTGTAAATAAATATTGTTAAAAACATACACACACCCAATCTATCTCTATCTTTTACTATCTCTATCTATCTATTTCTTTCTATCTATCTATATTTCTCTCTTTATCTATCTATCTATCTATCTATCTATTTCTATCTATCTATTTCTATCTATTGTGGCATTGGTGGGAGTCACCCCTTGAATGTTATCAACCAGGTGAATGTAATCTGGCACCCCGACTGGGTACCTCCGTTGAAGGATGCTCCTAGCGCTTTCTGAGGGCTCCAAGCACTGCAGCAGACACCATAACCACCACAGACTCCTTCAGAGAGCAAAACAGGAACAAGCTCTTACAAGAGCTTAGTAGTGATTAGCTAAGGGAGTATGCAGAGCATAGCAATCCCTTGCAGTTATATAGCAATTCCCCCAATAAGAGACAGGACTCTAGATTGAGGGTGAAGAAGAACTCTGTTTACTTGGCACCAATTGACCTTCTTTTATGCAGGTTTAACACATACAGGACTGCCCACAGGGTTTTACAGAACAACCAATAAACACGTAGTATACAGTACAAACATTCCCATACATCTCCTCCCTTCTGCTTGTGAGATAATTGAGTTTCTTGCTGTATCTACTCAATTATCGCCAAGCTGAAAAATCATACTTTTTATACATTTTTATAACTCCCTGATTTTAGATCACATACGAATAAAATATATTTCTGTGATCACATGAATCCGTCCAGGGGTTAAAAAGTTAGGTTGAGGTCCCTTTATGACCGACCGCAAGCACATTTTCATGCCCAAAACAGTTCCATGGATTTGGGCTGTGCGGTCAGTCTATTTTACACTGAGAAATCGAAATCGAATCTTCAAACGGGACTTAGTCTCCAGCCACAGCGTCGAAGTAGAGTAGAAGGTACGGGTCAGCGGTGTTCGTGCAATAGGGTAGCCGAAAACAGCTCCATAGATTTGGCTGCACACACCGCTTACCTCGTTCAAAATAGTTAAAATGGCCACCACCACGTGTTCGTTTGACGAATGGCGGCCACTTCGGCACTTCGGCTGTATCCGAAGTGCCAATTTAAAGTTGTAACACTGCTCCAAAGTAGTTAAAGGGCCAGGAACAGCAATATAAAAATCAATTATGCCCAAATCAGTTCCTAGAAGGGCAATACATCCCAGGGCCATAGTCGCAGGGCAACAGGCTGGCAAACAGGCCCCTCCAAAAACCAGTGGCGAGGTTACTTTCGCCACAACCAGCGCTAGGGTTTTAAAAGGTTAGCCTCTGAAGACATGGGGGAATCTAACAGCTGGGAGAGAGGAGGCAGTTAAGCCTGAGACTCTGAGAAAAAGGTACTGTGTGAAACCTGCTGTTGTTTAGTAAGTCTCCAAGTTGGAGTAGGATTTATTTTCTTTTTGTTTTATTTTTGTGGGAGAGCACAACCTTGTATATATTGTGGAAAGTGACGATAAACTGCAGTACTATTTTATCCTGAATGTTGCATTTGAAGTTTATTGTGAAGAGCCTGGCCATCCTGCCACACTATCTAGCTGTCTATCTATTTCTATCTATCTATCTATCTATCTATCTCTCTCTCTCCAACCCACACTCAGTCACCCGCTCACAATCACTCAGTCACCCACCCACACTCAGTCACCCACACTCACTAAATAAGTTTACTTACAGTTTGAATCCTCCCCTCCTCCTCGGTCTCCGGTCTTCAGCTTGTCAGCTCCAGCCGACTCTGTGTGCGGATTTCCCACAATCCTGCGATGCTGACAGTCTGGCAGCCTGCAGACAGGATGCTGTGCACAGTGCTGCCCTGTGCTCTGCTGACAGCAGATCTGAGTGGATTGAGGCGTTTTATGCCTCCATCAACTTCGAGGTCCCTCTGGTTCACTCTGAGTGACTGCAACTGGAGGTGTCCCTAGCTTTCAATGTAAACACTGTATTTTCTCAGAAATTACTGTGTTTACATGAGAGAGGCTGCCGTGAGCTATAGTTCTCACCTGAACAACCTCATTAAGCTGAAGTTGTTCAGGTGACTATAGTGTCCTGTTAACTGACAGAGCCACGTGTAATACACAGCCTGACCAATAGAGGTCCACCTGTGTGTAATACACAGCTTGACCAATAGAGGTCCACATGTGTGTAATACACAGCCTGACCAATAGAGGTCCTCCTATGTGTAATACACAGTCTGACCAATAAAGGATTCCCATGTGTTTAATATACAGTCTGACCAATAGAAACACTTTCATTAGTCCCTGGCCTTCTCTTATAGCTAGCATAGCCTTATGTCTATCCTACGCATGCGTAAACTCCTTCACTGTGTTAACCTCTACCACTTCAGATGGAAGGCTATGCCATGCATCCACTACCCTCTCAGTAGAGTAATACTCCCTGAAATTATTTTTAAAACCTTTGCCCCTCTAATTTAAGACTATGTCCTCTTGTTGTGGTAGTTTTTCTTCTTTTACATATAGTCTCCACCTTTACTGTGTTGATTCCCTTTATGTATTTAAATGTTTCTATCATATCCCCCCTCTCGTCTTTCCTCCAAGCTATACATGTTAAGATCCTTTAACCTTTCCTGGTAAGTTTTATCGTGTAATGATGAACCAATTCAGTAGCCCTATTACCTTTCTTGTGAATGGGCACAACATTCGCTAACTTCCAATCTTCTGGGACTACTACTGTTAACAATGATTGGGTAAATAAATCTGTTAATGGTTTTGCTAGTACACCACTAAGCTCTTTTAATAACTTTGGGTGTATTTCATCAGGCAGTACAGTAATTTGTCTTTACTGTTGACAGTTGAAATAGAACCTCTTCCTCTGTAAAGACACATGTAACAAATGACTAATTTCTCCTTTGTAGCGGAGCTCCGATACCACAACTAGGTATATCCGCTATTTCTTCCTCGAACCCACTTTTCGGCACCCAGATCCCTTCAGTGGTTTAGAAATGCCATTCAAATTAAGTTTTGACCAGTCAGCCACGCAGTGATGCCCCAAAATAGTTCAATAGAAAACAAGGCAGCAACCGGTCATCTTTCGGGTGTTCTCCTACAAATACCGACGACAAATACCGACTACCCCTGTTCAGTAGTATATGCCTCCCGAATGCCGTTCTCCTAACTATTCAGGAAGTTGGATGGGCAATAGTACAAGTTTCCTGGGTGATCACGGGGTCGCGTACTACGTGCATTAGAATGGTGGCATATGAATGGTGGCCACACAGGGAAAGCACTTGAGCTAATTGCTCATTTGTAGTTAACAACCAAGGGTGGTTGATGATTAAGGAGTGTGAATAAGGGGACTGTGGCAGCCACTCCAAGAGACATCTCTTTCCGCTGCCAGAGATGTCCTTTCCCCCTAGTATGAGTAATGCTGTAGTATTCCCAAGCAGTAATCCAAGTGGTAATAAAGCAGGTAAAGCTGTTCCCTATAAGCACAAGATGAGTCTCTGTGTTGAGGGTGAAGTAGAACTGGTTTAATGCTGGCAAAGCATCATGGGAGATGTAGTCCAAAACATCTGCCGTGCTGAAGGTTGCCTATGCCTGATCTAGATGATATCCTTATAGTAATCTTTCAACTTTCATCTTTCAGTAATCTTTCAACAAGGCAGTACTTCATACAAAGATGGCTCTCCAATGTCTCCAAAACCATGGTTGGATTGTGAATATGGAAAAAAGTTCTCTGACCCCATCTCACTGGATTATATATCTGGGAGCAGAAATAGACACCATGAGAGAAACTGTAAATATCTCTTCAGACAGAAGTTCCCACATTCAAGGGAAAATTCAGAAGATTCTGAAAAAGAGATCCACATCAGCAAGAGATTATATGAGTCTTCTAGGATCACTCACTTCCACCATAGGGCTAATGAGGTGGGCTCAATGGAATTCCAGGCCAATTCAAATGAATTTCCTTCTTCAATTCAGTAAACTAGAGAACAATTAGGACCAAGAAAGTCTGATTCCACAACACATAAAGAACCATCTAAGGTAGTGGCTATCAAGTCACAATCTCCAGAAAGGGTTTCATTTAGAAGATCTGGATACTGGATCAGTATTAAAACAGACACCAGCCTAAAAGGTTGAGGAGCCCATTTCAGATCCACCTGGACTCAGGGAACTTGGTCTCAGAGGCAGAAGAAACTACATTCCAACATAAGAGTTAATAACCATCCACAAAGCTTTGAAAGTCTTTCTTCCAGATCTTCAGAAGAAATGGGTATCAATTTGGACAGACATCAGGGCAGTTGCAGCGTATGTCAATCATCAGGGGGGCACCATGAGCAAATGTCTTCTTTCAGCTATGAAACCCCTCATGATCCGGGCCCAGAAACATCTGTTAGTTCTGAAAGCACTGTACCTACCTGGAGTGTACAATACTATAGAAGACTATCTGAGCAGAAAAGTTATTCAACCAGGAGAATGGAGCTTACACCCAGAGGTATTCAGGATGATCACTCAAAGGTGGGGCATACTCCAAATCAAACTTATGGCAAACAGAAAGAATGAACAAGTACGGTAATTTTCTCCCTGAATCCAGATCCTCTGTCAGCAGGTCAAGATGCCCTGTCCCAACCATGGGATTTAGATCTGGGGTATGTGTTCCCTCCCTTACCTATCATTCCTTTTCTATTAAAGAAGATAGGCAAAGAAAGGAAAAAGATCATTGCCATTATCACCATATGGCCAAGGAGACCCTGGTATCCCCTTTTAATCAAGATGGCCATATCCAAACCTTGGAGACTTCCCCCCCCCCAGGAAGGCCATTCTAATCCAAGGCCCAGTAATTCAACCAAAACCATCTCTATGGAATATGGGAGCATGGCTTTTGAGCAGTCATTTCTACTAAAACCGGGCCTATCGGATAAAGTCGTTGATACTCTTAAAATCTACTACTTTCTGTTATTACAAAATCTGCGAAATCTTCAAATCATGGGCTGGTTCAGTTTCCATTGACCCTATGAATCCATCACACATCAAGATTCTGGAAATTTTACAATCAGGACTGGATAAAGGACTTATTTTAAGTACTCTCAAGGTCCAGTCTTCAGGCTTATCTGCGCTCCACAATACATCCTGGATTTCACACCCTCTTATTTCAAGGTTCTTTAAGGCAGCTATGAGCATTAATTCCCCAGCAAGAAATACTGCTCCTCCTTGGGATTTTTCTGCAGTTCTTCAAGTGTTAATGGAACAACTATATGCCTCTCTCTCACAGATCTGTCTAACATCGCAATTACAACCGCTAAACGTATTTTCGAACTCCAAGCCTTTTCATCTCAAGACTCATACTCTAATCTTCCACGACAGAGTTGTTCTTAAACTGGTTCAAAAGTTCCTTCCTAAAGTGGTATCTAATTTCCACATGGGTCAAGAAGTAGTTTACCTTCCTTCCTTCTTTCCAAATCCTGTAACTCCAGAGGAAGTGAAGCTTCATGAACTGGATATACGAGAGTATTTAATAAAATATTTGGAAACTACTAAAGACTTTAGGAAGTCTGCAAAACATTTCATTGTACCTAATGGTTTCAGGAAAGGAGAAGCAGCCTCTTCTTCGACACTTAGATGTTGGATAACAGCAGTTATAGCAGATGAATACTGAAAGTATAATACAACTCCACCGGCCAAGATCAGAGCTCATTCTACAAGATCTCTCTGTACAACTTGGGAAAATTGGGCAGAGGTGCCTCCAGATGATATCTGCAAGGCAGCCACTTCTCCAGGGACATTTTATTAAACACTACAAGTTGGATCTGGCCTCTTCCTCTACTAAATTTGGTAGAGATGTTCTGTCTTCTGTTCAGTCTATAATAAATCACTTTGGTGCTGCAATCATTGTAGCGGACCATGGGTAACCCGATCGGTTACCTCCTCTAATTCCTTCCCTCTCTAGAACCATTAAAATAAGCAGACATCCATTTTACCCCAGTATCAGGATGACACACAGTTCTGGAGTCAACTCAACTCAACTGATTTTTAACGGGACATGATGAAAAAAAGTTATACACAGACCTCCAGCAGGGGATCTCCATACATTTACACAAACTCCTCCCCTGTGCCTGGGAGATAATTAAGGTATGAGAAGTCACACATAAGTGGCCTGAAAGTCTGGTTTCTCTACAAAACAACTCTAGCATTTGCCATATGTCTTGATTGCCTCTTATATAGGGAGTCTTTTGATATGCCAATGATCACCAGCTCTAAAGAACAGAAAAAATACCCGTGTTCAAATATCACATCCAAAAGAGACAATCCCTATGTACAAATGAATACGCAAGCCTCGGTTTTATCATATCTAGACTGGGACAAGCACAATCTTTCAACCAAGCCTAGAACAAGAGGATCACACAAACAATACAATGTTAAACAGCCCTGACCTGAAAACAATAAGCAGGCAAGCGAGTGGGCACATGTGGGCACGGTACTCCATCACAATCATAATTGTAAAATTTCATTTTTTCTCCCACCCTTCTTAAATTAGCTTGGGCATTACCCATAAGTGATGCTGCCATGATTAGCCAGGAATAAGGAGAATGTAAACAATACAATAATTTTCTTTTCCTGACTATTTGTCATGGCAGCATCAAGTTCCCTCTCTAATGTTTTTTGGACATTATTATGGACTGGTGTGAAGGAAGGAGGGACCCTTCATACACTTGGTCTCATTTGAATTCTGTTTCCTGTCCTGTTCTGGTCCTGAGGGCGGCCATAAATTTAACCGGAGATAAAAAGACTAATATAAGACTTTGAGGGCTAGGAAGCCTAAACCACATTTGGTTGTACATTGAAAAGAGGAATAAATGTGCTACCACACCGACTCGCCAGTAAACTAACGAATGCCACTGCATCCTAGTATAATTACAAATTAAACTAAGTAAAAAAGTGCATAACTAGATACTCTTGTGTACCAAAAATTATTTGAAAATCACCCATTCTTGAAAAACAAAAGAAAAGATTAGGGCTGAAGCTGGCTTTTCTCTTGATTGATTATCATGGATCGTTGATGTATCATAGCGTCGTTAACCGGAGCAACCACCAAGATGCCGTCCAAGTAATGATAGATTGCTACTCCTTTTTTCCTCACAAGGACAATAATCATCACTAGAACCTTGGAGAACTTCTTCTAAACCATACTGACCCCAAAGGGAAGAGCCCGGAACTGGAAAATGTTTGTTTGCAACGCAAAACTTGACAAACCTCTGAGCCGGAAATATGCATCCTTCAGATCCACTGAGATAAGCCAATCTCCCAGTTGTATTACTGGAACGATGGAACAAATTCCATGCATAATTTTTTATATTCAGGAAAAGATTTAACTGATGAAGGCACAGAATGGGTCTCCATTTCTCTCCTGGCTTTTTTACTAAGAACAACGGGGAGGGAGTAAAATCTTTGAAACCTCTCCTCTTTTGGTATCTGAACTACCATGCCTTAAGCAAGTAGGGTATTTGATTTATATATAGAGGAAGAGCATCTCTTTTCTGAGATATAAAAGGGAGTCTTGTGGATATGAATCTTGGAGGCAGGTAAAATCTTTGAATTCCAGGATATAACCTATTGAAATAACCAATTGTACCCATTTATCCAGAATGTTTTCCCAGGGTTCCTGGAAATGCCATAGACTGGCACCTACATGAGGAGCCTCAGTAACAACACCTTCAGAATTGTTTCAGATGAAAGGAAAAAGAAGAAGAGGTCTTGGTTCTGGTCGATTTATTGGATTGTCCACCTCTCCAGTTAGAGGGTCTGGTGTATTCTCATGTTGGTCTGTATAGTTTGCTGTCCCTATATTAAGTGTAGTCTCTATAAGGACGGTGATCTTGTGGTCTCCTAGCTAATATATCTTGAGGCAGTAACATTTGTTTAACATCTGCTGCATTTTTTTATGGAGTCTTCTAGCAATTTTCCAAATAGGGCTTTACCTAAGAATGGAAGAGAACATGAGTTATGTTTTGAGGCAATGACAGCTCCCCAAGATCTCAGGCAAATAGCTCTTCTGGCTGAAATATAGAATCCCATAACTTTAGAAAGGACCTTGATAAGGCTTATATTAGCCATTTACTGGACAGTTTGAAATCTTGCAGAGATTCTACTATATGTCTTCTTCTAACACCCGTATCCATGTCATTTTCAATATCAAGATCTAAGAGCTCTTGACATAGCAGAAATGGATACAGCCAGATCACAACCCAGACCACCTGCCAAAAATAATGTCGTAGATTAGCAGCAATCCTTTTTTTCCAGTGCTTGGCAACTTTGATCACTGGAGCATCCACTTTAGGATTAGCCGTCAACAACTTAGAGTCTTCTTCTCTAATTGGATATAATTTATATAGCCTACCATGTAGTGTGAATCTCTTTTCTGGATGATTCCATTCTGATTTCATCAGATCCTTAATGGATCTGTGTACCGGGAATGAAGGTTTTCTCCTGCTGAAATCCCTGAAATGTTTATCTGAAGCTTCCGGGAAAGTCCACTGGGATTTCCGATGGTTTTCTAACTAAAGCTATCAAATGTTCAATAGCTTTAGGGTTCAAAGTACAAGAATATTGGGCACTAGAAGAATATATCTTCTTGGTAGATATAATTTCTAAATCCAGAGATCTGGAATCTTGGTGGAAAGCTTAAAATCCATTTGGAAACTTTCTTGCCTGGGTCTTTTCCCTCTGTTGGATCTGCTATACCTTTAACCACAACCTGTTTTATCCAATAAGCAATCTTGTGCCAAGGTGGAGGCTTGTGGTGACTGAAACATTTTGGATTCTTCTACAATCAATGCTAGGCATTTTCTGCAGAGCCTGCAGTTATCCAAAAGCCTGGAACCGCATGCAGGATGGGCCGCTGGTTTCGCCCTTCTCCTAGATGGAGATTTAGGGCCAGACCGGTCTTTAGGGCTGTAAATACAGAAGTCTTATAATACGACTATAATAAATAATTAATGCTCACCTGTGGCCTAATGCAGATGATTTTGCAGAAGTTGGTGATAAATCCATATTGTCCCAAGGGCTAAAATGTAAAAAAATAAATCTATAGGAGGTAAAAACAAATGTTTCCAAGTCATATATGGATTTTATACATGGAAGTTATACATAGAATTCTGAGAATCTTATGGAGAAAGGCTCAGAGAGTAACTTGAAATCAAACAGGTATTTAACTTAAATCAGTGTTTCCCAACCCAGTCCTCAAGGCACACCTACCAGTCCAGGATTTAGGGATTACCCAGTTGTGTCTAAGGTGTTTTTACAAAGAAGAAAAAAAACCTTAGACACAACTGGGTAATCCCTAAATCCTGGACTGGTAGGTGTGCCTTGAGGACTGGGTTGGGAAACACTGACTTAAATGTCCAGGGGCAAATACAGATGTAGCGATTAAATTCTGCCATGCTTTACCTTCAAATCAATGCACTTGCACAATGAAGCACCGCCAGCCTTTTTGCAGGAGGGCATAAAAGGCCTTATTGCCTGTTGCGCGATTCGCGCATGCATCCGAAAGGCATTGGCGTACAGGTCCCTAACGGATGCCAATAAGGAGTAGAATTAAGTGCCAAATTCACATATCAAAGGCTTAAAAAACTGTGGCGAAAGTCGGCATTCGTGAGGTGAAATCAATCAATTGTAACAGGGTAGAGCTGGCATTCGGGAGATGAAATTAGTGCTTCTGAAATTTGAAAAGCACTGATTGTGACAGGAAGGATTCCACGACTGAAGAGACTAATCCTTAAAGTGTTGCATCGGATGGATGCTACAGTATCTCACAAAAGTGAGTACACCCCTCACATTTTTGTAAATATTTTATTATATTTTTTCATGTGACAACACTGAAGAAATGACACTCTGCTACAATGTAAAGTAGTAAGTGTAAAGCCTGTATAACAGAGTACAAAATAACTCAACACACAGCCATTAATAACAACGCTGGTAATATAACGCTACCAAATACATGCAGCACCCAGTGTAACAAAATACAAAAGATACAGATATATATTCTTCCCAATAATTGTTTGTAACGGACCATTTTGCCCACAAGAGGTTAAAAACCGTTTAGGCAATATTCCCCTTTCAGATGCACAGGCACAGCTACTGCAGAACACCAAACTCCCGAACTGGAACTTCACGAATAGCTGCTAGCAGCTGAACAGGAAAAGCACCCAAGCGGCTTACACTCCTGGCAATCAGTCTCTAACAGCATACAGTAAATACCCCCAAAGATGAGACAGAGCTCCGTGGTGAGGGTCAAGCAGTGAACAGACAGAGCTGTGGGTTTATTGTTCTTATATACACATTAGTACCGCCCACAGGGTTTTGGAACACAACCAATAAACACATACAATACACTCAAACACTCCCACACAAAATCCTCCCCTCTGCCTGTAATACAATTACCTTACACAATGGGTAATGTAATTATCAAAAGCAGAGAAATACAATTTTTCCACATTATTCATAACTTGAAAAGTATGCATCACATTCACATTTAAATTTTCAGAATCAGCATACTCCAAATACAAACATATGTCAAAATCATCCAAAGTGGTTCAAAAGATAGATCGTAGTCCTTTGTGACCAAAGGAAGCATGGCTTTTCTGCCCAAAACCAGTTCCACAGAGTCTTCTATCCTGGAGATAATTGGGAAGTAATCCAATTATCTCCAAGGACAGAGGCAAAACTCCATTGAACACATGGCAGCAAAAGACAATAAAACACATAAAAACATATAACTGTGCAGCCATTGCACAAAACAGGTACATTCAACATATCCCCAGATAGCTCAGATCTGAGCGCACATTATTACTGAATGGCGCTCAGAGCACACACATACAGTTCAATTGCCATGGAGCCAAAGTCTTTCCCATAGTCTTTCATTATACGAATGGGCTCCATGGCATAGCTATCTGGGGTATCGCCGCTCAAACAGGGCCAGCACCGAATTACCCGGCTTTCGTGTCTCCGCAGGGAAAAATCAAGCGTTTCAACATGGGGCCATAGTCTAAAGGCAGCAGGCGGGCAACCAGGCTCCTCCAATGCACAGTGGTGAGATTGGTCTCGTCACATTGTTTACTGTGGGTAAGCCAAGATACCTCTCATGGGATCTACAATAAACAAATATAACCACACATAGCGTAACCTGTATAATTACAATGGCTAGGAAATTAAATAAAAGTTCCACTCACAAATATAGAGCCGTGCCAGGCATGGGCATCCACAGGGGGGGCAAGGGGGGGCACTTTTTCCGCTTGTTCTGCTATTTTTCGTGTGAGATTGAAAATACAGTGCAATACCGGTGCCGGCCAGTAGGTGTGTGGAGAGAGACAGGGATGGGAAGCTACATCTTATCCTAGCTTCTCTCTGCTGACTGAAACTGCAGGGGAGCAGCACATGCAGCCAGCAAAGACAGCCTTCAGATCAGGTACGTAAGGGATGGGGGGGACAACCTACAGATCAGGTAAGTGAGGCATAGGGTGGGGCAGCTTATAGATCAGGGAAGTGAGGCATAGGGTGGGGCAGCTTATAGATCAGGGAAGTGAGGCATAGGGGGCAGCCTATAGATTAGGGAAGTGAGGCATGGGGGGCAGCCTATAGATTAGGGAAGTGAGGCATGGGGGGCAGCCTATAGATCAGGGAATGAGGCATGGGGGGCAGCCTATAGATCCGGGAAGTGAGGCATGGGGGAGCAGCCTATAGATTAGGGAAGTGAGGCATAGGGGCAGCCTATAGATCAGGGAAGTGAGGCATGGGGGGCAGCCTATAGATCAGGGACATGAGGCATCGGGGGGCAGCCTATAGATCCGGGAAGTGAGGCATGGGGGAGCAGCCTATAGTTTAGGGAAGTGAGGCATAGGGTGCAGCCTATAGATCAGGGAAGTGAGGGATGGGGGTGCAGCCTATAGATCAGGGAAGTGAGGAATGGGGGGACAGCCATAGATCAGGGAAGTGAGGGATGGGGGCAGCCTATATATCAGGGAAGTGAGAGATGGTGGGATCCACCTACAGATCAGGTAAGTGAGGGATGGAGGGGAAGACAGCCTACAGATCAAGTAAGTGAGGGATGGGGGGGCAGCCTACAGGAAGGGTGAGCAAGGAGCAGGAAGGTAAAGTAAGAGAAGGAGAAGGAACAGAAATGAGCAGGAAGGAACATCAAGGAACAGAAAGGGGCAGCAAAGAGCTGGAAGAAACAGCAAGGAGCACAAAAGGTAAAGTAGGAGGAGGAGCACAAAGAAACAGAAATGAGCAGGAAGGGTCAGCAAGAAGAAAGAAGAGTTAGCATGAAGCAGGAAGGGGCCGAAAGGGTCAGCAAGGAGCTGGAAAGGGCAGCAAAGAGCAGGAAGAGACAGAAGGAGCACAATGGTAAAGTATGAGAAGGAACAGAAATGAGCAGGAAGGGTCAGCAATGAGCTGGAACTGGCAGAAGGAGAACAAATGTAAAGTAGAAGGAGAAGAAATTAGCAGGAAGGGTCTACAAGGAGAAGGAAGGGCCTGCAAAGAGCAGAAAGGGACAGAAGGAGCACAAAGGTAAAGGAGCAGAAAGAATCAGAAGGAGCACAAAGGTAATGTAGGAGAAGGAACAGCAAAGGGTAGCAAGTAGCAGAAAGGGTCTGCAAGGAGCAGAAAGGGGAGCAAAATAAGCAGAAAGTAGCAGAAAGGTGAAGGAGCCAAGGAGGAGAGAAGACAGTGTCAGAAGAAAAAGAAGACTGTCAAATGAAAGAGAAGAAAAGGAGATTGGAGCAGGAAGGACAAGTGAAGTGAACCCTCCACTTTATTCTAGACACCACATCATAAGGCTTTGGCACCTGGGCCTGGCAGGGAAACTTTGGACCTTCTCATCTCCCCAGGTAAAAAAAAAAATATCAGTGTTAATGTGTTCACTTTTATTTAGTGAGGGTCAGGAAGCACAGAGTGCCGCTGGGTAGGGGTGTCGCTGATTGGCTACAACGGTCAGCTGGCACTCTAAGCCAATCAGTAGCTCCCCATTCATAAAAAAGTAAAACATTGGCGGGACCTGACAGCCAAGATGGCCGGACGCACTTGCTCTTGGCTCCGGTGCCAGTGGGCATATACTCAGACCCAACTGTGATTACCCACACCAGAAACAAGCAACCTGACACAGGGATTGACCGGCACCAGGAGAGACGCTCAACGGTACCTGAAGCATACCGATCGCCCAGCAGAAACCTTAGCTCGGCGGCACAACCTGATTTTCAGCATGGCAGGCGGGGTAGCCGGGGGAGGGAAGGCCGCTCTCTCTCATGTGCACCACGCTCACACTCCGGCAAGGGCCCCTGCAAATCCCCCCCCCCTTTGGACCTATGGGGGTTATTCCGGTCCCCAATAGCCCCGGACCCACAGCTCAGCATGCTGCCAGGCCACTCTGCAACCAGAGCGACACGGCCAGAAAGCCTCACAAAATGGCGTCCGAGCAACAGCACCCAGCGTACACACAGTACAATCAACAGGGCACTAACCATGTGTCCCACTTTATGGCACAGCTTGACAAGCTCTTACAGAGGTTCTGGAGACGCCTGGAGGACCACAGCAGGTACGAGCAGTCCCAACGTGAAGCAGCAGCACAAGATGTCGGAAGAGGAATAGGGGGATGGTCACGACGTGGCGAACTCCATGGAACCAGCTACATAGACCACACTAAAAGCCTTCTCAGGCCGAAGGCCGCAGGGAGAAAGCCTGCATGGTACCGACCACATCGCAGGAGGCCTAACCGCCGCTGGCGGCGACATAAAACCCAGGCCTCCCATGGCGCCCGACGAAGGGAAGACATGGCCTCGCAGAGACACAGTCTGTGGACCGCAGAGTCTGTGGACCCAAAGTGTCAATATTCTGTGTGGCCACCATTATTTTCCAGCACTGCCTTAACCTTCATGGACATGGAGTTCACTAGAGCTTCATAGGTTACCACTGGAGTCCTCTTCCATGGAGCTGGTGGATGTTAGAGACCTTGCGCTCCCTCACCTTGCGTTTGAGGATGCCCCTCAGTTGCTCAATAGGATTTAGGTCTGGAGACCTACTTGGCCTTTACCTTCAGCTTCTTTAGCAAGGCAGTGGTCGTCTTGGAGGTGTGTTTGGGATCGTTATCATGTTGGAATACTGCCCTGTGGGCCAGTCTCTGAAGGGAGGGGATCATGCTCTGCTTCAGTATGTCACAGTACATGTTGGCATTTATGGTTCCCTCAATGAATTGTAGCTCCCCAGTGCTGGCAGCACTCATGCAGGCCCAGACCATGACACTCCAACCACCACTCTTCTTGACTGTAGGCAAGACACACTCCTCACCTGGTTGCCGCCACACACGCTTGACAACATCTGAACCAAATACATTTACCTTGGTCTCATTGGACCACAGGATATGGTTCCAGTAATCCATGTCCTTAGTCTGTTTGTCTTCAGCAAACTGTTTGTGGGCTTTCTTGTGCATCATCTTTAGAAAAGGCTTCCTTCTAGGATGACAGCCATACAGACCAATTTGATGCAGTGTGCGGCTTATGGTCTGAGCACTGACAGGCTTGACCTCTCACCCCTTCAACCTCTGCAGCAATGCCACTCATACGTCTATTTCCCAAAGACAACCTCTGGATATGACACTGAGCACGTGCTCTTAACTTCTTTGGTCGACCATAGCGAGGCCTGTTCTGAGTGGAACTTGTCCTGTGAAATCACTGTATGGTCTTGCCTACTGTGCTGCAGCTCAGTTTCAGGTTCTTGGCAATCTTCTTATAGCCTAGGTCATCTTTATGTAGAGCAAGCATGTCAAACTCAAAGTCTAGCACAGGCCACATAAACAAAACAAAAAACAACTTAAATTTTCATAGAAACGTAGATTTATTTTTATACCTCACCTCTCTACTAAATCCCAGTCCCCCCATATACTAAATCCCAGTCTCCCCATATACTAAATCCCAGTACTTCTCCCCTCTACTAAATCCCAACACCCCCCTCTAGCCAACAAGCAGACTCCACTTACATTGCCGCTGCCAGTATGCGACTCCAGAGCACCGTCCGCACCCTGTGCCAAAGTGGATACTCCCGCTACTTCTTGAAACCCTGTGAAGGTGGAGCACGTCAACTTCACGTCAGAATGTGACCTGGCGTGCCACCGTGCACCTCCAGGTACTCCACTATCCAGCCGCAGCCATCAAAACACTGACCGACACACACTCATTGACAGAGACACACACTCACTGACAGAGACGCAGACACACACACACACTGACAGACAGTCAGACAGACATACATACACACACACTGATAGACATACACACAGACACACACAGACACACACACACTGACAGACACACACACACACACTGATAGACATACACACACACACTGACATACACACACACTGATAGACATACACACACACACTGACACACACACACTGACACACATACACTGACAAACACACACACTGACAGACACACACACAGTGACAGACAAACACACACTCACATCATTCCCTAGGGTCCAGAGGGATCTTCTATCTGGTGCTCAGTGTTCTTACTCCTCACTGCTCCCTCACGCGCAGTTTAGTGATGCCGGGTGCCGGAATGATGTCATATTCTGGCACCCGGCATCACTACAGACTGCGCGAGGGAGCAGTGAGGAGCAGGAACACTGAGCTCCTTCGCTGCCGTCGTTGTCCTGCTTCCTCTTCCGGGCCAGGTAAATGATAGCAGAGTAGGAACCTGCAATGTGGGGCGAGCAGGTGCCTACTCTGCTTTTACATGAGGCATGTACTCGCGGCTCACCGGGCCACAAGGAGGTCCATTGTGGGCCGCGAGTTTGACATGCTTGATTTTAGAGCAACACTTCTTTTTATCAGATCCTCAGAGAGTTCCAGTGACCAGCATGAGAGAGTGTGGGAGCGATAACACTAAATTTAACACACCTACTCCCCATTCACACCTGAGACCTTGTAACACTAACGAGTCACATGACACCGGGGAGGGAAAATGGCTACCTGGGCCCAATTTGGACATTTCCACTTAGGGGTGTACTCACTTTGTTGCCAACGGTTTAGACATTAATGGGCCGAATGGTTCTTATCTGCCGACACATTCTATGTTTCTATAGAGGGTAGTGGATGCATGGAATAGCCTACCAGCTGAAGTGGTAGAGTTTAACACAGTGAAGGAGTTTAAGCATGCGTGGGATAAGATGCGTGGGATAAGATAAGGCCAGGGACTAATGAAAGTATTTAGAAAATTGGGCAGACTAGATGGGCCGAATGATTCTTATCTGCTGTCACATTCTATGTTTCTATGTGTGAGTTATTTTGAGGGGACAGCAAATTTACACTGTTATACAGGCTGTACACTTACTACTTTACATTGTAGCAGAGTGTCATTTCTTCAGTGTGGTCACATGAAAAGATAATAAAATATTAACAAAAATGTGAGAGGTGTACTCACTTTTGTGAGATACTGTAACTGCTGTGTGACGGTAGTCACCATCACTGGGGATGGAAGACTTGTGGGTCCCCAGATTCCTCTTGATTCCTCTTGTGTTTTGGTCACCCTGTGCCCATTATTGGTGCTGGGTATGTTAAATGTATTGCTTGTCTGTGCCTCTCCCCTTCCCCTTTTTCCTGTCCTATTGTTTCTCCAGGAGGGCGTTGTCCCAGGGACACTACCAGACTAGTTTAAACTGGCTGCTTTGTCCCTCCACAATCTCCCATCAGCCCTTGCTATTGCCTGGCCCCACCCTTCCTTGTACTATAGTAATCTATGTACCATATTGTAAATGAAAACTGTTGGAAGCTTAAATGTGTGTACTATGTCTATTAAAGGGAGTTATTGTTTTAACCTTCACCAAGTGTCGTCTGGTGTTTGGGAAAAGAGCTCTGATTACTGCTCTGATGATGGAAAGGGTGTCCAGGGCTATAATCCTAGTAGCCTGGTCCAGGGTGGTCCTCAAAGATCCCAGTCAAGACTGGGTCTGAAGTGCTCCAGGGTCCCTGATGGCTATGAGGAAGCGGACTTGTCGGAGGTACTTGGTCGGAGTACTGGAGCTCCGTCACATCCTGCGGCCCCCAGGGGTTCCCAATTGCACAAACATGGGGCTTCCTGGAGAGCGAGGCTGACCTCTTCAGGGAGAATTCTTTTAACCAACAGACAGGTGAGCATAAAATAATCTTTTTTCTATAAACTTATGTCTGTCCTGATGACTGAGAGGACAGGGAAAAAAAACTGGGGTATGAGGGTCTAGGACAGTGATGGCGAACCTATAGCACGCATGCCACAAGTGGCACGCCGGTCCCTCTCCGTGGGCACGGGGCCATAGGTTCCGCATCAATGCAGAGTAGGCATTTGCCTGCCCTAAACGGCAGGACCGGAAGCAGGGGGGAGGCATCTAGGAAACAGCTCTCCTGTCCTCCCGCGAGCGTTGCCCCGCGTTACCATGGCAACACTCCACACAGCATCGTGCGGGAGGACAGGAGAGCTGCAGTCTCCTGTCCTACATACTTACCACCACCAGACCACCAGGGATGGCTGTGTTCCCCCCTCCCCTTCACCAAAGGTAGATTTATTTTTATACCTACACACACCGCATCTTTTTTAGATTTATTTTTATACCTCACCCCTCTACTAAATCCCAGTCCCCCCATATACACCGCACCCCTACCCCCCACACAGCACTGCTACCCCCTCTCACACACAGCACCCCTCAAACACAAACACATACACTGCACCACTCAATGCAGTATATGTGTGTGTATTCAGCAGTGTGTGTGTGTGTGTGTGTGTGTGTGTGTGTATTGAGCTGACTGTGTGTATGTATTCAGCAGTGTGTGTGTATCCAGCGGACTGTGTTTATGTTTGTGTGTGTGTTTGTATTTAACGAACTGTGTGTGTATTTAGCAGTCTGTGTGTGAATGTGTTCAGCTGTGTGTATGCATTGCATTTGTGATACTAATAAATATATGCTAAATTTTATCTATTAACATCATTATTTAAAATTTGTATAATTGAACTCTCTGTTGTGTCTTTTAAAACAAAAGATGTTAACTAGTTCGGACAACAGTACGAGTTGTTTTTTCTGAAACTAAATCTCAGTATTCAGGTTTAATTGCCGTGTTGGCACTTTGAGGAAAAAAAAAGTTGACATGTGTTGCGGTTTGGGCACTCGGGCTCAAAAAGGTTCGCCATCACTGGTCTACGAGGAATCTTTTCTAACCTAATCTTAATTGTTTGATTATTTTTCCTGCCCTATTGGCTGGAGGGAGGAGTTACCCCATTAGTTAAATGCTGCTGTGATTTGCCAGGAAAGCTTATTTCTTTACTAGACACGAGGTTCCAATTATACTTTCAGATTCCTTTAATTCTCCACAGCAGCAAACCATAGGTTAACCAAGTAAAGTTACAGTCAACTCAAAACACCAAACAAACTTGATAGCTATAAAATGCCCAGTAAATCAGTGGCACCAAAACAACTTTCATTTAATAAAGCCGTTTTGGTGTATCGATCATGCCCCCGCAGTCTCACTGCTCAATTCTCTGCCATTTAGGAATTAAATCACTTTGTTTATTTAGCTCAAGCCACACCTCCCGTGGCTTGTGAGGATATTTATAATGTGATAAATACTAAATATAATATTTTCATAAAAATTATCAAAAATTAATTTAATAATTTTTATTATATCAGAAATTGATATCTTGGCACTGTTCCCGGATTAATGATTTAAAGCTGAGAATTACCCACGATTTTAATTCTCTTAGATCCTAGAGCAGGGATAGGCAACCTTCAGCACTCCAGATGTTTTGGACTACATCCCCCATAATGCTCTTACACCCATAATGCTGGCAAAGCATCATGGGAGGTGTAGTCCAAAACATCTGGAGTGCAGAAGGTTGCCTATGCCTGTCCTAGAGGAAGTTTCACTAGAGGATTTTTACTTCACACAGTAATCACAAATTAATAAAAAATATAATTTATTGTGACAATAATAATAAAAATAATATATGGAACATGTGTAACAACAATCAGTGAATATTTAGGTATAACATAAGAATGCAATGTGGCAATGATTTCAACACAATATAGACAGCTAAATAGCGACAGTTTTATGCAATTTAACAAGATTTATGACAGGACACTACTTCACTTAGAAATAACTTCACAGACAAGACAAAAATTCACAGAACACACAGCAGTGCAACGTAAAGCAATAAAAAATCACACTGAATTAACTCTTTCACTGCTGGCTACAATCCTCATAGGCAAGATATCCTATTATATTGCAATTTTACAATTGTATAACATGACAGGAGGCTTCGTATTTGCTTAAGTCTCTCTTTACTAGAACTCCACAGCAGCACAGAAAAACAATCAATCAGAATAAAGTTAGGTACTATAAAACTCCCCTCCCCATACAGCATTGCCTCTTTCTTTGCTGCTCCGCAGTCAGTACAGGTCAGAGTACCACTGCCTCCTGCTTATAGTGGGTGGCTTTGGGGTTTATTGCTTATATTCAGTATTGTTATTGTCCTTGTGGGATTTAGACTGATATTTTCAGTATTTAATATTGTCCTTGTGGGTTTTTCTTTCATATTCAGTATTTAATGTTACCATTGTGTGAATTTTATGCCTATATATTGCATATTTTATTCAGTATTTTTTGTTTGCCCTTGTGAAATTTTCTTTTCACATACAGTTTTGTTATAGTCCCTGTAGGACTTTCTTTATTACTTTTAATTTAGGCTATCACTGTTTTTATCTATGCTTTGGATTTGTGGGGGGTGTTTGGTGTCCTTCTGTCCCCTCTATCCCCTTGGGCTTGTTTCCCCTGTCAGTTTCCCACCTCGTGTGTATATAAATATATGCTTTTCAGCCTTTGTCCTATGTCTGGCGGTGTGTGTGTACTGCTCGGGGGCTTCAGGAGGCTAACGGCATCTGCCTCCTTCTGTCCCCGAGCTCCTGGACCGCGGAGTTCTTCTCCGGTGGTCCCATGTGTTTTTTTCCGGCCGCGGGGGTACTCGCAAGTGAGCACGAGTACCCGGCGGCCGTATCTTTTTTCCCACATGGCCGCTAAGTTGCGGCCGTCTCCACCCGCGGACCACGTGTCCGGGCGGGGGGGCGACCGCTAAAGGCCCCTCCCCCGTGTGTACCTTCTCGTTGGAGGTCTGTTGAGGGGCTTTCTCCCCCTCTGTGTATCACGGCCGGATTCAGATCACGGACGGAGCCTTTTTACAACATATGAGGGCCCCTCTACCCTGCTCAGGGTTAATCTATAGCTCAGGATGACTTTATATTTATATATATTCATTTATTTGCTGGGCTGGAGGATAGATTATAGGCAGTACACCCTGTACTGCTCTGAGGTTCCTGCAGTTTGGATACCTCTGTCTTTGACTAAACATTACAGATCTGCCAGTTCCCTGTATAGTGTTATGGAATATTCAGCACCAGCGGCTGATACATCTGTTATATTAGACTGGAGACATAATAGCACTTAATCCAGAGGTATTATGTGAAATACTGTTATAAACACATTCTACACTGCTAGTGGGTTTTGCATATTAAAGTTTCCACCCAAGTTTTCCTATTTCATGGCACTTATATATAAGGGACTCTACTCACACAGATGGGCCTTACGTGTACACACGTGTACGATCGGCTCTGTCTATGCCCCTATCACGGGCCTGCTATGTCTGTGCCCCATTGTTTGGCCTGCTATGTCTGTGCCCCATTGATTGGCCTGCTATGTCTGTGCACCATTGTTTGGCCTGCTATGTCTGTGCCCCATTGTTTGGCCTGCTATGTCTGTGCCCCATTGATTGGCCTGCTATGTCTGTGCTCCATTGATTGGCCTGCTATGTCTGTGCCCCATTGTTTGGCCTGCTATGTCTGTGCCCCATTGATTGGCCTGCTATGTCTGTGCCCCATTGTTTGGCCTGCTATGTCTGTGCCCCATTGTTTGGCCTGCTATGTCTGTGCCCGATTGATTGGCCTGCTATGTCTGTGCCCCATTGTTTGGCCTGCTATGTCTGTGCCCCATTGTTTGGCCTGCTATGTCTGTGCCCCATTGATTGGTCTGCTATGTCTGTGCCCCATTGATTGGCCATCTATGTCTGTGCCCCATTGATTGGCCGTCTATGTCTGTGCCCCATTGTTTGGCCTGCTATGTCTGTGCCCCATTGTTTGGCCTGTGCCCCATTGATTGGCCGTCTATGTCTGTGCCCCATTGATTGGCCGTCTGTCTGTTCCCCATTGATTGGCATGCTATGTCTGTGCCCCATTGATTGGCCTGCTATGTCTGTACCCCTTCGATTGGCCCGCTATGTCTGTGCCCATTTGATTGGCCTGCTAGGCCTGTGATCTTCTGCTGGGCCTGCTCTTGTTGGCTCTTGTTGGCTTGATCCATCGGTGCCGAAACCCCTTTGGCTGCAGGCCTGGGGGAATATCACTGAGGAAAACCCAGTGTGGCGAAACCGACCTCGCCACTGGGCATTGGAGAAGACTTAAAGACATGATTTGGGCATAATGGATTTGTGTTGTGCTGCTGTTGGCCCTTTAAGAACCATCTGGGGACATACTGTGAAGTTACTGGGTGGCCACCATTTCCTGTATCAGAGGCACATGGTGAGAACAACGGATGAAGAACATGGTGAGGACAATGGATGGCGGCCATTTTAACTCACAGACACTGTTTGGACTTTTCAACACGGTGCCATCTCGCCGGTATTTGGTGCGCAGAGACATCGTGCAGTGGTTTTAGACTATACAACAGGGGACACATTGTACAGTAATTGTTTTTCATATAGCCTGCATATGTTCTGTGGAATCTGCATTAAACTGTATCTTCCAAAGTACTGAACGGATCTGGGTGAATTTTGGATATGTGGGGTTGTTGCATGTTTTGGGGTCCCTGTGATATGTTTTATGGTGCTGTATTTTTGTGCAGAGGGGAGGATTTTGTGTGGGAGTGTCTGTGTGTATTGTACGGATTGATTGGCTGTGTTTCAAAACCCTGTGGGCAGTGCTATGTTTGTGGATTGTGAATAAAAGAGGCTGTATGTGCCAGTACAGTCAGTTCTGCTTGACCTCAAAACGAAGTGTTGTCTCGTTCTTGGGGGGAATTGGATTGTATGCTGATTGCCAGGAGTATAAGCTGATTGTATGCTTTTCCTGTTCAGCTGCTTACAGCATTCATATGCTTGAAAGCATTCGTATTCTTCTCCGGTTCGGTGGTTGTGGTGTCTGCTGCAGTGCTTGGAGTCCTCAGGAAGCGCTAGGAGCATCCTTCAACGGAGGTACCCAGTCAGGGTGCCAGGTGATCCGTTACACCCAGTGACATGGAGATAGGTGGATGCCCAGGCAAGCACAACTGTCATATTGTCCAAGAGGACACCAGTATAAGACCATCTGAGTATGGTGTGAAGGGTGAAGGCCCTAAAACCTCATGCCCGAAGGGCAAGGTTTTTATGAAGACCTGGGCACGCAACCACGGTTTACACCAGCCTGACGCAGGCACAGCCCCGTGGAGAATTTCAGTCAGACAGGGACCAGTACTCAGACCCTAACAGGGGGACACGGTCTTCCCTTGTCTTTAGCAACTAACCCTCTACTGCATTCCGGTATCCATCTTAGATATTATTAGTTTTTCCTGCATCAGGTTAGTTCCTGGTCCTGTTCAGTCGGACTTTCTTGACGGGTTCTTCCGGCCTGCTACTTACCTTATCCAAGGTACGTATTTACCCTTATTTACTTTTATTTTGTTTTATTTTTCTTACCTTCCTTTTTCCTATCGCTCGGGTCATCGAGGGGTCTGACTTAAGACCTCCTCCGACCTCCCGGGCCCTCGTGGATTGCGGAGAACGTCTCCAGCTTTCCTCAGACTGCCGACCGTCTTCCTGGATCCCTTGCACATGCACAGGATCCGGGCGGTCCGTTGGTAGTCTGTCATTGTTTCCAAAGGTTACTTTCTCTCATTGCCCATTTTTATTAGTTAAGATGGACACGGCCCGAGGTGGTATACTCCTCCGTCTACCTTCAGTCTGGTTTATTACCAGTGGATCCCACCTCTCAGGTGAGGGATTCAGAGAAAGGTCTCGTGGCCAGAGAGGGACCCTCCTCGAGATCCAAGTCCTACGCTATTGTTATTAGATGGTGAATCCCGCAGGGTCACCCTGGGTCTGAGATGGACTCTAGTTTGGATTACTAGAGGGTGCGGCCCTCCATCTCCTCGACCTGACACCGATACTTTATTTACACAAGTAGAGAGTGAACCCCTCTCATATACTGAACCGGACACTGCTTCATTATTAGAGGGCGTGGCCCTCCTTCAACCTCAGCCCGATACTGAGAGGGATACAGTATCGGGCTGATACTTTGAGTGTGACACACTCTTATAGAAGGAAAAGGACACGGATGTAGACTCTAATTTTTGCTATTAACGGGTGCGGCCCACTCATGATATCAGCCGGATGCCAACACAGAATTCAGATACATTATTAGAGAGTGCAGCTCTCTCTCATACACTCAACATAGTACAGTGTAATCCAATTGTTCATCACACAGGCTTATACCGGTACAGGACAATGATGTCTGCATAGAGGGGCGTCCCTCCTACCCTCAATCCAATATAGAGGTGTGTACCACATACTGTGTTCACCGCTGATGATTCGGCTCTGGTACAGGGGTATAGTACCTACAATGCTCCATAACAACTGGGCAAGGGGAGAGAACCCCTCCTCTAGATCTACGACCGTGCTACCAAATTTGCTGTAGAGGTTTACCTGATCATGCATGGTATACAGGTCTAGACTGGATTCCTCTATTTTCACCTCCTATACGATCCTACTGGATCCGGCCACTGTATCCCGCGCAAGAAAGACTCACAGAGGTATTACTGGGAGTGATTTCCCGCTTCTTTGCACACGTCCCGGAGTCCTTATGGGACAGTATAGGGACGGTTTGGCTGACCAGGATTGCTCCTTTTTGTTGGTGCTCTATAACATTCCTTTGGATGTACTCCTGGAGGTGGTATGGCTAAGGGTTGAGCCTCAGCTATTGCAAGATTGCAGGTGTCATTATAATTAGACTAGCAATCGCACTCTGATCAGGTTATGCAGACCATTGCAAACGAACTGCACAGACAGTTCTTTACCATGTCAAGGTGTCATGAGAGCCTGAGGCCTTCGTACAGCAAATGTGCACTGCCGTGCTCGGGTGAAAAGACTAGGGAAAGCCCACAGCCCGGTCTGCAGCTATGCCGTACGCATGGTTTGCTTGGGAAGACCGGAGTCCTCGATCGACTTGCTTTCTCTGGTCGTTAACAATCTTGGAATAAGATGACTGGACTACCTCCACTCCTCTGGGAACATTCTTGGAGGGCCTTCCTTCTATACCCTACATCCCTCACGGGAACCGTATTGGTGTTTCCCGCTAACCCACCTATTCAATTGTCAGCAAGGAGACATACAGTGTTAGAAACATAGAATGTGACGGCAGATAAGAACCATTCGGCTCATCTAGTCTGCCCATTTTTAAAAAACTCTATGGAGGAACGATGTGTGTCCCCTACTCCTACATGGATGTCACAAGTTGGGATGCAACCTACCACAGGAGTACTAATCAGGATGGGTAACAGGCTCGAATATAGCTGCCGACATCTCAAACCGGACAACAACTGCTTTGGACGATTAAAGCTAGATCCGTGTTTTGTTATATCTGCTATCTGGAAGTCCTGTTGTGAGTAAAGGGACTTTACGTCTTGCTTACGTATCAGAAAACACTATGAGTCCACGGAACTCCAGGATAAAGGGAGGTATTCCTATATAGGGATGCTTTGACTTCTTTTATCAAATTCACTTTCCTGGGTTCCTTGGCCTGGGGCCTACTCTTGGAAATCGTACCCGGACAGTCAGGGGTGCAGGGACCAAGAGACTCATTATATTATACTCTATCTTGTAGGTGGCGTTCCATACACATATTTTGACAGGTCAGACAGGGATCAGGATCGTATCGGTTTATTTCACTCTCTCACTACAGTACGTGAGGACTCTTTTTGTTATACAGGTCCCAATTACCATTGGATCCGGACGTCTTATCACTCTTCGATATGATATAGCTGGATGGAAACCTCAACCCTGGTTGTGTTCTCCTCCTTTTGGATATTCCGGGGTTCACAATCCCCAAGGTAGTCGAACACCGTTTTACTTCACAAGTTCAGTTCAGACCCTGATTGGACGTCCTCTGGGAGTTTCTTTCACTACCGCAGTCGCGGGTCACACAGTACATTTGGAATACTGGAATCACTCAGGATATGGCTATTTTTGACCGCACTCTTGCCTGCATATAAATTCACTCTCAGAGGAGACGACTCACCGAGTAGGTCATGAGTGAACGAAAGACCCTACTCGCTTCTGTTACGGAATTGGTGGTAGACTTCACGCGTTACTTGAGATTGGAGATTGGCCTGCAAGACCACATCACCGGGTGCCCTGGCACGATTGGAGGAGCCATCTTCCACTTCAAGAGTCGAGACCTGTTAGCAGTTTTCCTTTTGTGGCCCTAAAGTTCGCAAATGACCTTTGGCATTTTACACCTACAGGAAATTACTAATAGATCAGCTTGGCAGCTCATGGACCGGCTACTAAGAAACAGTACACTGGATCAACCAGTGGAGGGTGTTTTTTCCGTATTTTTGGGGTGCCTTGTCAGTTTGCATTCTCATCGATCCACCTACTGTCACTTCTCGCAGTTGGAAGGTCTATTTAAGATTGCTCTAATATATCCCGGAATAGGTACCAGCGAAA